TATTCTTTATTCAATGAGTTAGAAGAAACAGCAACACTTTAGGCCACAGAAAGGGGATTAAATCCTTCAGGTAACAAATTGTACATTTACACATGTAACCGCAGCATATACATACAAATGGATGATTATTGGTTCAAGTGGTTACAGGAATGGACTGGCAGACACTGGCTTCTTGTCTCCGTCTGCCATCGGATTTGTCCCTTGCAACATGACACTCCATGAACTGCCAATTTAAATGGATTCCTCCCTGACAACGTTAGAAATATCATGATGTGGTCAGTACATTTGGGGGTGGGGTTTTGGGGTGCACAGTTGTGGATACGATGGGTAGCCTGGGAGGAAGAGTAAGTTAATAAATGTTGTACGTGGGATATATATAATGGTGCAGCGTAGCATAAAAGATTTATGGTTTGATTTGGGGTTGGCCACATCAGTCATGACTGGCACAGACACACACACACACTCTCTCTCTCTCTTAGACATTTAATTTTTTTAGCAGTCTTTGGCCTGGCAAGTCTCAGAATCCCCTACACCCAGGAATTTGTTCCACTTATGCGAATATTCACTCAAAGAATTTGCAAAAATGGCAAATAAACAGCATCCCGCAGGAAAAGTGAATTCAAAACAGCAGCGGCAAGAGCAAGAAGGCGGACACCAACCTCAAGGCTGAGCTCAACAGCCAGCAGGGGGAGCCAAGGGGAGAACTGTTAGAAGAAACTGGCCTGGAAACCAACCAAACGCCAGCTATCAGGTCTGAAATACTACATATGCTCAGAAGGTGATGCCTGGATCTGCAGCCGCCAAGTGGCTGCATGACTGGACTCTCAGAGGAAAAGGTAGATGGGGAATTTATTTCACAGCACAGTTCCACTGCTAGATTCCTAGTGCTGCAGATCCAGCATGTTGCCATTGTTCTAAACATGGTTCTTTGTAGCTGCTGGGACAAGAGTGTGTCTGAATACAACTGCAGTGGGTTTCTCAGATTCAAGCGCTGAATAAGGAGCCATTCTTCACGTGATTTGCCGACTCCATTACCCCTCCGGAGCAAAGGCGCTGCACGCTTCCCTTTTTCAGGTAAAGATTATTTTATAAGAAGATTAATTATCTCAGAAAACTCCTCAATACAAACCTTTACATCTTCTATTTAAAACCCTGTCTCCTCATTCCTAGTGCATTCCTGAGCTAGCAGCAGGCTGACCTTCAGTGCTGACCCTCCTTCCCCTATCCCAGGAAATGAAAGTTGATCTCTGGCAGGGGGAAGTACTTAAAAAACCCAGGCATCAATAAAAACTGGGGTCCACCAGAAAAGCCCAACCCCTTTACTGCCCTTAAAAATGTGGCCTTTTGTGTTTCCAGGATGTTAATTCTCTCCCCCTCTGCCTCTTTAGTGGCGATACACGACACGGGGAGAGCTTTATGTCTAGCAGGGGAAACCCCTGAGTGCTGTGCACATGCAGGGAAACTCAAGCTCTCTGCATTTAAATTACAGCTACATGGATAAAGTTTCCTATAAAATAAAAGAACGGCAGAATTACATGGGGTGCAGTCTTGGGGCCATTTGCATTTCTAACAGATCATCCCAGATTTTTTTTAATTCACTGAGAATGTGAACTCAACTCTTAGTCCCTGACTGGACACCATTCTGCTCATGTTAACAGTCCATAGAAGAGAAGTCCTGCGTGTAGTTTATGCACAGTTGGGAGTAATATATCCTGTTTACTGCAGAGTGTGCTCTGAAATGCAAAAACCAGGGATGAAAGAAAACCCAACACGAACAGTTGGGATCTAGGTTTGAAAATCATATTGAACTAGGAATTGGATTGGATTAATGAAGCCAAATACATGGCACCTTTTAAAGATTTCAGAGCATTAGGGAAGGAGAAAAGTTTCTTTAACTTTTGAAGAACTCTTTAAAAATCTCTACAAATGTTTCACAAAATGTCTAGAACATTTTGGAAAAGATTTAGCGAGAACTATGAAACTTCCTATTTCTCTGGCGCCTTTCATTCTACTGTAAATTTAATGCCATAACTCCAGTCTTCTAACAAAACACACAATTAATTTCAGAATATGGGATAGCAACTTTTGATGTATTCCACGAGTACATGCATGTTGTATGCAACTGAAAATGCACCCTGTTCTTTGGGGTCTTAACCAGAGGCTTGTCTTTCTTTGATTAAATCCTAGAGACAAACTAAGAAAAGGAAAAGATAGGGAGGAAAGAAAGAAAAGACCCAACTAGTTCTATCTGACCCAAAAATGGGTACTCAATTTTAAAAAGTATAAATCAATTCAGAATAAACTAGGGATGGAGGATAGAATATGTTAGAAACACTTCTTGTACTAACAACTTCTTTCCCTATTTACTGTAGCTGGCTAATAAAGGCTGATTGTAGGATGCAATAAAAAGTCTTATTTTTCTTGAAGAGCAACACAAAATTCCAACAGATGTTTCTGCTTTTAGATCAATTGTAATTTTATGAAGAAGTTTTCTTTTCTCTTCCAAACAACAGCAGGCACCAGAACTCGAGAGACCTGCTGCTGCTGCTAAGAAATATGCTGGCTGGCCTCACTGCCACACGTCAGGAACTAGCAAGGGAAAAGGATCCAAAAGCAACTAATTTTCCCATTCCCAAAGAGAATCAAAACAAAGTGAATGTTGTGCTTGTTCGTTTGACAGCCCTCCTGAATGTTGAACCTCCACACTTTCTGGGTCTGGGCTGTGTCTGGAAACGGAAGAGCCAGATTACCACACGGCAGGTTGTTTTTGCAAAATTTCCAAACTGAAGGAAGTATCTGAAGTCTCACTAGAAAGACTATTCTGGTGACATCGCCAACCCAGTTGTGTACTCCTGAGATATTCAGCAAAGAGTAGAACCTCCAAACTCTGAGGTTCTCCCATCGCTTTTTTAGATCACATCGGATATGAAAAAAATAAGAACCTCAGTAGCTGTATATTAAACATATTCAGTTAAACTTTCACCCTTTCCACTAACTCTCATCTCTCTGATAAAAAGTATTGTTTAATTGGTCCTATGTGTGTAGATAATCTGAGCCAAATCCTGCAAACCAGACTTCATCCTTAAGCAGGGAAAGCTCTCATTGACTTCAGTGGGAGCTTTGTCTGTGACCATCAGAACTGCAGGATTTCATCCTATAATTTCCCCCAAAGATGGGATATAAATCAAATGCAGCCCAAAAGCCTCACCCGTGAATGGAGAAAGGCACCTCAGATTGTTTCCTTGGCACAACACTCTCCCCTTGTGTCCAGGAACTTACTCCTCCTTGCCAAGAACTCATTAATTCTTGGCTCAGGAAAACTTGCCACAACAGGGAGCACAAAAGCGCCAACATTTTCCACATATGCTCACTTGATAACATCAAGAGAGAAAATTAAGACCCTAAATCAAGGATGGCTCTTCTTTGATGTGCTGCTGTATAATTAATTTGTTACTGGTTTAAAAAATGTATTCACCCACTCAAAGGAGATTTGCTTTTTTCAAAATATAACTAGTCCCTTTTTCACTTTTCAAAACTCCTACTTTAGAAGGCTTTTTGGTCATAGGCTACCTCCCGTTAGCTACTAAATACACTGATGCGTGCTATGAACTCCACCTTCAAAACATTCATAACACATGCAGAATGCAGGAAGGTCAGCTTGTCTATACGTGGTACAGCAATGAGACAGTCCCCTCCCTGTCATCAGTTCAGGGCCCTTGTTGGAAGTGACCAAAGTCGATGCCATCTAATGTCTGATCTGTGGGTCTAATTCCTAGCAGATAACTGTCTGCATCAACTGGCACCCTACAGGCACTCAGCACAGAGGCCAAAGACTGAATGAGCCGTGGGGATCAAACCCTTTCTTGTCCCAGCAAGTGGTCCCTTGACATCAGCAATGTCTGGCTAATAAGTGGGAAAGATGTGAGGCTTTGAGAGCCTCGTGGAAAGGCTTAGAATACTGTTAGTAGACAGATATAAGGAGAGGGGATAGCTCAGTGGTTTGAGCATTGGCCTGCTAAACCCAGGGTTGTGAGTTCAATCCTTGAGGGGGCCATTTAGGGATCTGGGGCAAAAATCTGTCTGGGGATTGGTGCTGCTTTGAGCAGGGGGTTAGACTAGATGACCTCCTGAGGTCCCTGATATTAACCAACCCAACCCTGATATTCTATGATTCTATGTTCATTTCTAGCGAGCAAAAGGTGCAATATGTAGTCAATGTAAGAGACCATCATCGCACTGAACCTCTTATGAAATACTGCTTCACAGATCATGGCTCTGCCTGAGTACAACAGGCTTCTTTTTCCTTTCTCTAAAATGCTTTCTCTGCTGCCAGCTGGATTCATCAGCATCCCAAGCACGAATGGGCCTGCAACTCACAAACGCCTTCTCACTGCACCTGACTTGGCCCCCACATGTTTAGAGTGTTCACTAATATTTGGTTTTCGCTTAGACATCCTTCAGAACAGATTACTGTACGTAATGACTGAGGTCAGCCTCAAACCCAAGCAGGGCACACATGGAGCTAATCTTGTTGGTTCTGAGGTTAGCAGGGCCACAATGACAGCATTAACGAAAACCACACCATCGTGCTTATTAGCCTTGTTCGATACATCTAGGCAACAACAGTGCATTCCATGAAGCAATGGGCAAATCATTTCAAATAAAATAAGGACTAACCTGAACCTTTTACCCAAATTAACTTAACAAGAAACCTTGATGTTTGGGGAGCGGGGTGGTTTGAGATTCAAAATGGTAAATTTTTTGGGTTGGTTGGTTTTGAAAATGTTATGCCTCGTAACCACTGGACCAGAAGCAGAAACAAACACTGTAAGAAATCAGCAATTGATTTCTGTCCTCTCAACATGTCACTGCCTTGCATGGACAATGGAAGCAAGAGGGGTGGGCAGAAGGAAACCATGTTTGTGTTCCATGCAATGCTGCACGGGGGGGAATAAAAAGGAGAATTAGATGCTCTGAAAAGAATGAAAGCCTCAACTTACCAAGGCAGGTCCTGCCATCAGTGTGCAGGCGAAAGCCTGGCTTGCACTCACAGTAATAGGATCCCAGGGTGTTCACACATCTGTGCTGGCAGCCCCCATTGTGAACTTGGCACTCGTCAACATCTGCAGATGGGAAGAGGAACAGAAACCTTAGCAAGTAAGTAGTGCTTTGGAAAAATCTGGGATGGAAGAGCTCAATAATAATAATATTTAATATTCATATGCATTCTTTGCTATGCTTCAGGATGAAAGTGTTTCCCACAATATATACATACAACACCTCTTGGGCTGTGAGCTGCAGCCATGCAGATAACTCACGGAGGGAGAGGGAATGTTGGCCAACATCACATGGACAAATCCCTTCTTTTATGATGGCCTAAATTTTCAAAATTTTATGCACATCTTGTGCACACTTGACTTATCTGCATGACACCCCATGCACACAAGCAAGTCAGGCTGGCATTGGCAAATCTACAACTTGTGTGTGTGCGCATCAGATGTTGCATGAAGGCTTTGGCAAAGTTGAGCTTTAGTGTCCATACAGAGAAGGGAGGACTCTGTTCTGAAGAAGTGAGGTTTTTACCCACAAAAGCTTATGCCCGAATAAATCGGTTAGTCTTTAAGGTGCCACCAGACTCCTTGTTGGTTTTATAGAAACCTTAGCATTTCTCCTGGCTGTTCGCTGACTCCAGAACTGAGGAATGGATGAAGGACAGGAGGGCAGAGTGCCCTATCATCAGGTTTAACCATTCAGGCCATTGTGAAAAATCACAAGGACGGACATGCAAAGAACACCAATGTACATCACAAGTCATTCAAAATAAACCATCCTTCAGACTTGACTCTCCAACAGTGCCATCCCCACTAGGGGATCAGCTATGCTGTGCACCTTTCAGACATCTGAATGTACTCTCAGGATAAAGAGTAGAGATGGACTGAATTACACTACTGGAATACTCCAAGGGAAATCCTATCTCTGAAGCCTAAAGAAGATCTGTACATACTCTAAATCCTCCTTGTTCTCACTCTAAACAGGCTGGGTGATCCCATTTGCTATATACAGATTCAATTATTTATAATAATGACAAGAGTAAACATCTAACATTTACAGACTGTAGCCAAAAAGAATACCTTAAAGCAGCACGTTTTAAATCCCTAGATTCCCTGGAATTACAGGTTGGGATCCTAGCAGGGTTGACTCAGCCCTTCATCTTTTTGAGCCAGATAGCCCAGGTTCCATGCAATTTACTTTGTAATAAAGATGGGGCTGGCTGAAGAACACCTTGAATTGAGCTCTTCCATCCCAAATTTTCCCAAAGCACTTAAATTTCACAAACTACAGGTCTCACTTTGTTGCCATACAGCTAATCCTGGGGTGGAAGGTGACAGATATTTAATCTGTGCTCAGTAATTCTACATGTCATTAGAGGCCAGAAAGCAAAGAAAACTATCCTATCCCACTGAAATTGTGTATAATGGACATGTAGGAGAATTTTTGCACAATATAATGCCATTTGTTTAAGGTCAACTTGACCCCACATATGAAACTCTGAAATGTGTGTTGCAATTTTCTTGTCTGCTCTTTCTAGTTCCTTCTACTGCACATATATCCATGGTATCCTGGCTTTCACACCAAAACAAACTTGGACAAATTGAGGCAAAGATTTCTACAAAGAGAAACCCATTTGGCCAGCATACCTCTCTGTTTCCATTTCCATAATTGAAACTATCTGGGCTTGAATAAAAGCCATTCTCATTGCCAGAACAATCTTGATTTTTTCCTCCAAACAATGAGCATTCTTTCAAGGGTTCAAATGTTAACCAATCCATTATTTCTTGGGCACACATCCTATCCCACCTCATATTTAAGACTATAAAAAAAGTAGACCGTTTGTGTTTAAAAACAAGAAATTCATTCCTGTTCCACGATGACTATGTCATACATAGTTGTGATTAAATACTGTAGAAACAAAGAAGGCAACCACCCCAGGAGCTTCATGCTATCCAGTGCTATCTCAGCTAGACACACACTGAAGGCAATTGCAGGATTCAGAGACACAAGATTCCTTAGGTGAAGAGCAGTTTGTGTTTGAGAATATCAGTTAATTGGCACATATATATAAAACCTTCACACACATACATTTATACACATACTAAGCTATAGATCAGGGATCGGCAACCTTTGGCACGCGGCACGCCAGGGTGGGCCGGGCTGGTTCGTTCACCTGCCGCATCCGCAGGTTTGGCCGATCGCAGCTCCCGCTGGCCGCAGTTCGCCACTCCAGGCCAATGGGGGCTGCAGGAAGCGGCAAGGGACAAGAGTGCTTACCCTGGCGAGCCACGTGCCAAAGGTTGCCGATCCCTGCTATAGATCCATACAGAGAAATTACAAGTCTGGATTTCATTTTTCTTCTGTTTTTGATTCCTCTCCTCCCTTCCTACTAAGAGGCTGAAAGTCAAATTAGTCCAATGTAATTGGAATAGTATAGCAGGAACACCATTCTCTTCTGTGTTAGAGACAGTTGGCTTCTTGGATGAGAGAATAAACCAATATACATTGTTATCATTCAGTTTCTTTTCCATTGCACCAACACTCTTTTCATGACTGTATCGAGGCCCTAAGAAATGAGCCCAGAAATATTTCTCTCAGATTGCAACTGAAATTTGAAAACTACAATGGAAAAGAAAGGCTAGGATAATTAAATGCCCTTCTCTCCTGTCTGTAACAGGAAACAACAATAAGCCTAGGAGACTGTTGAAAATGTGAGACCTTTTGTTAAATCACTTGTTATTCTAATTTATAATAATAGGTTCTCAAACCAAAACAAATTCTTCCTTTAGGTAGACTGGCCTTTCTGGAGTAACACTATTGCATGCTATATGGGAGCCCATAAAGAAGAGAATTACAATAGCCAAGAACTCAGGATGCAGGCGGGAGCAAGATTTTCAATAGAAGAGTGGTTAAGACAGTATCAGGTGACAGAACACGGGGAAAAGCCATTTGGAAATGTACAGAGAAGCAGCAACTACAGTGTAGCTGGCACCACTGAACTGAACAACAAGGAAGATGAGTTACTTCAGCATTGTGCATCCCCAGGCATGAGTTTCACAGAGTACAACTAAGGATAACTTTCCCCTGCAAGCACCTTCATTACCCTCATGCCAGCAACACAGTGAATAACAGAGGTAACTTGGAAGAAAGAGCACGGCAATTACCAAACATGAGGCTGCACGTCCTGTTCTTCAGAGCTGAGTGGGAGGAGGAGGACAAATAACACTTCTACCATAGAGAGTCTAAAATAAATAAACTAAAAAGAAAAGGTCAGATGGTGACAACTGACCAAAGCCAGGACCCTGGCTCATAAGCACTAGGTCCAAGGAGAGTCATGCTGGCTATTAGGAACACAGGCATGTGTTGTTCTAGTTTATGTAGGTGGCTTTGGGTTCATTTAGGGAGATAAACAGTAGCGGCTGCTTGCGTGTGTCGTTAAACCACAATTACAGTCCCTCTGTGGGGAAACATCATACTTCGAGCTTTGTAGTTCAATTTAATTTGAACATGGATTTGCTTCTATCAGAGCCAACTCGCTTTCCCTACTGCACAGACAAGGCACAGAGTACGGGCTCTTCAAAGCCTCTCTTCTTCCTGGCCTATGACACCCAACCCTCCCTCTACTAAGCCTGTCAAACCCACCCTCCTCTCTCAGCCTGAGCCTCCCCGTTCTTAGTCAGTCTCCCAGGAGCTTTTAAAAGGAATATGTGATGAAATAAATAAAGCAGTTAAGGCAGGAATTGAATTTCTGTGCACCGGGCTTATGGACTTGGGAGGTTTCCAGTGTACAGGATTTACAGTACACAAGGGGAGAGCATTCCTGAGAATCCTGCTGTACTGGCCAATACACTGCCATGGCGATCCCCTGATGAATTTATTCAGCGACAGCTACCGTATCTTACCTCACCCTACACAGCGAGCAGCGGCAGAGGGAGCGATTCATTTTGGATACATAAAAGTACAGTGGGGAAGACATCACCGACCCAGCACATAGGTCAAGCCAGCAACAGAGTGATATGGCCTGGCTGCGTGATGAACAAATACACGTCAGCACTGAATACGAACAACACTGAGAAACAATTCCTCAGTTAATCATTCTAGGGTGTTTCCTGTAACTGCTTGTGCCTTTGCATGTAAGCCATTTGCAGGAGCTTGTCCCAGCACAAACTTGAATCATATTTGGAATCCCCTCTACCTGCCAGCATTAGGACCTGCCAGTCCTAACTGTTTTCATTCCTTTCTTGCCCTCTGCTGATTGAGTCAACAGCTGTGACTGTGCAAGAGATCTAATCCGTCTTCATCCTTTCTTTGAAAAGCATGACGAAATAACCCTGGAAGGACAGAGTGCTTCCTAAAACCACAAAAAGAACCTGGTTTGGGCTCCTATGGCTCAGCTACAGAGTATAATAGAAACGCTGTCGCTTCCTTCCAGCACCTTTCACCTGGGGGCTTCAAAGCACCTGAAAAATGTTAATAAACTATGTAGCACCAGACATGTGGCGAAGGTCCCGGTCATTAGTCAGTGGTGGGACGAAGGCCCAGAGAGGTTGAGTGACTTGGCTAAAGTCACAGAGCAGTCAGTGACAATGCCACGGGTAAACACCAAGAGCTCTCACTGCCTAGCCCTGCTCCAACCTCTAAATCACACTCCCCTCCCAGAGTCAGGAAAAGAACCCAGGAGTCCTGACTTCTAGTCTCCAGCTCAAATGGCCGGATAACACTTTCCTCAAGGCTCCCACCACATACGGATTTTCTATTAATATCTTTATATGAACAAGACATACCATGTTGCAGGCTGTAGATTAAAAAAATCACTTTCTCTATTCATAGATTCTAGGACTGGAAGGGACCTCGAGAGGTCGAGTCCAGTCTCCTGCCCGCATGGCAGGACCAAATACTGTCTAGACTATCCCTGATAGACATTTATCTAACCTACTCTTAAATATCTCCAGAGATGGAGATTCCACAACCTCCCTAGGCAATTTATTCCAGTGTTTAACCACCCTGACAGTTAGGAACTTTTTCCTGATGTCCAACCTAGACCTCCCTTGCTGCAGTTTAAGCCCACTGC